AATTATTGTGCACCGTAGTATTAAGCGCTGATAGGTCTGTCTCCAAGCTTCACTCAAGAAATAATATTAGAGGTCAATGAAATTTCTTGATTATATTAAGAGATAAAGGAAATATAATATATAAGAAAACCCACGAATAAGTAGTCTTTTCTATATCGTTTTGAACAGTCAGACCTCATTTACATCACAAATCACACATATCTCAATTCCATGTGCATATTACCTAACTGTAAATCTGACTGTCAACTCCAATTCAGCTTCATCGTAATTTAAGAAAACATTTAAAAAATCCTTCTTCAATGCATATACTTGTCAAACCCTTCCAGCCCTATCAGAACCACGATTTAGCGAATTCGCCGCCTTCACAACTTGCGTTTTCGAAGAATGATGCAGTGATGTTTTTTATTATTTTCTTAGAATGATCTTCCAGCAATTTCTCACAGAGTTTACAGTAACCCAACCTGTAAATATATTTCACAATTACTACCAGTCAAAGTTTAAATAACACTTAACAACCAACTTCCGAAAAACTACAAGGGATTTGAGTCAAGATGACTAAAGTGGTTAACTAGATCTGAAAACTGTGATATTTACCTGTAACCCGGTATTTGCCAAGGACGGCTCCATCCTTCAGCCCTCCATGAAAAGTAAGAGAGGTAAGCCGAATGATTTGACATCAACATCTTCAGGTAATCAGCCATTTTCCGTGGACTTTTAAAGTCATCCATAGGTATAAAAGAATTTGGAGGTAGTATCCTGAAGCCAATATCTAATAACCAGAAACTCTGGGAAGCGGTAACAACACTAAAGACTAAAACTGATGATAACAACAACAAATAATTACTTTTCATAAACGTGACGCCTCATCACAATCGGTACCGACGGAAACTGATATCGAGCCCAGTACTTTTCAGTCACATAATCTTTGCAGACAGTGTTTTCGAGAGCAAGAAAAAAGAAGTGCTGTTTTGCAAGGAATTCCTCACATCGTCCACCGTGTTCACATCCCATAGTTCCATTACGATTTGCGCATTTACCAATAATGTTAACATTTATGTATCTGAAACACACTCCGACTGAGTCAAATTTATAACTGCAAATTATTCATGTAAAATCCAGCGATTCCGTTCAAAATAAACCAAGACATCTTTTTACATCTACTCGTACAAAAATCAGTCCTTTGTCAAACAGCAACGAAGACCACGGTCGTTTATGCAAAATATTTATACACAAAATTAGTTCTTACAATGCTTTATGCCACAAACCCCTTTCTGAAGCTTTCGCAGATATAAAACGAGAATCTTTGAGGAACTTCAAGTCAAACTCTGCAAAAGCTTTCCAGCAATGCAGTGGTGTTTAACAGCTTCAAATACAGTGAAGACTCTAATACCCAATGAACATAAAAATTTCTAATAAACTCATAATTAGCGAAGGTTTATACTAGGTTACCAAGATCAGTCGGACTCTACCTAGGCGAAACAACTCCCTAACAACAATGTAGCTTCATATCGAAATGATAGCTTTTCCAAACTTTTTCAGCCTAAACGGCCTTCAAAACAAGGAGGAAAATGAATAGAATTTTGTATTAGCTACTATGATCAAAAAAATAGTTTTGAGAAAGATTATGGGCCTCCAACTACACAGTCTAAAAAACCAGTAAAACAACTTTCATAATTTTTGAAAATGTTGATTAACAAAACTAAGCATGAGTAATCTGTAGATTAAAAGTGTAAGGATTTCTGACCTCTTCCTCACTTAAAAATCTTTCTTCACTAAAACTAACTTTTTGGTAGCAAAAGTTACTTTATAAATGTTCATTTCTCATAAATATAATCATACTCCGCAAATAAAGAAGAAAATTGTCATCACCTGAATTTTTTCACTACTTTTCAACTTCCACTGTTCAAAAATCTACTTCTACAAAAAACTTTAGGAGCTAGTTTTCTCATCTTTTTTCAGTTTTAAACGCCAGACTATCTTGAAAAAAAAAAAAAAGTTTTATTCCATTTTCTAATTCAAGCGACTGTACTTCGCAAAATAGCTTACTTGATGTCAAAAGAAAAAATTTATCTTTTCCTTCTGAAGTACTGACAAAGATTATACAGTGAAAAATAAAAAATGTTTGGTTACTTTTAGAGCAAACAATTTTCCACTCTCATTCTTAGCCCTTTCTCCGTTAATTTGAAAACACCAACGAAATAACGAAAACTTGGAATGCACTTACTGGGTTAGTTGTTTAACTGCCACTTCTCTCTTCGAAACTGTATTACAGTTTGATACCAGCCAGAATATAGGTTTCTGTTTCCCATCTAGAATTGCTGTAGAATTAGTTGTAAGATTCTCTGGCTTTAAACCTAAAGTTTTCGACTTCTCTGGATTCACCCACCACCCACCATAGGGCATCGGAACATCTACGTCACGTCGATACGTCATTGACCAGTTAAAAAAATTTTCTGAAAAATTATCGTCATGAGTATAAACATACCATAAAATTTGCACGTTTATTTACTGTTTATTTTATGCGTGTGATAAAAAACGTTACCATTATAAAAGTATACTTACTGACAACACTCATAAACATAGATTATATTTACCAATATCACAGATACTAACTAAGGCTAATTAAACAGTAAGACTAATCAGCTAGAACGCTATTAGATGAGTATCAAATATCACCATTTAATCTTTCAGCAACAAAAATGAATATTTTTGGCCTTTTTGGAAGTGTCAAACATACAACGATCACTCATTCATACACTGTTCGTATGAATTCGTTTAGTCGTTTTTGAATCTTAATAAAAAACTCAACCAAATAAAAGAAACAACCTTTAGGTTTACTACCTAAATGCCAAAAATTTTTTTTTCCCTTTATCTTAACAGTGCATTTAGAAGACTAAAAAGTAAAAAAAAAAATGCAAAAACAAAATAATTCATGGATACAATGGTCACTATGAAAAATTATGTGCACAGTGTATCATCGTTTGCCTGAACCGAACATTTTTCCCAGCTTTCAGCTTTCACTAATATACACATAGAATTCAATGACTGTGAAAATGGATACAGCTTTATTCTTACTCATTCAAAAATTTTAAAAAAGAGAAAATGTATTCTATACAAGTTTTATGAAATACATCTTTTAAACTTTAATAAAGTGAAAATCAGAAGAAATATCCGTCTTTCTAAGCATTTTTAACATATGTAAAACGAAAAAACAGACACTGAACCTCCACTAATATTAGCTGATACATTGAAAGTGCAGTTAATAAGCTATGCCCCACCTAACACTACTAATAAGGTTTTACAGCTAACTACTACAAAACAAATTTCTATTATTCGCTTAACCTTTATTTACTTTTCTAAATAACATCAATCTACTATTACTTCCTTCACGATCAATTCATAATTGTGTGGCCTAATAATGGTATGCGGATGGTTTTTTCAATTCATTAATGTTTATAAAATAGTAAAGCAAAAGATTTTTGATGCAAAACTTCTCAGATGCTCCCCTAAACCATCGACATGTTAGAAGGCTTTAATTAAGCTGACAGCTGTATCAATTCCATACAAAATAATATGCAACCTATTAACTGTACAGCAAAAAAAAAAGAAAATAAAAAGGGGGAAAAAAAAGAAAGCAAACAAGCAAAATAAAGTCTGTACGAAACTGATACCTGGAATGGCGTTCAAATTTTTTTTGTTGAAATTTACAGGAGCTTCCATTGTCAGAAATACGTAACGCTGATTTTGATGCCTCAGTTTCGGTAGATCATCACGCGAAAATTCTGTTGCATGAAAGATTACTGCTGCTGCTTTATCGATACCGTCACGCTGTGCAGTTAAGATGCACTTTTGCTAAAACATTTTTTCAGATTATTTGCACAAACTCCTGGACTGACCAAAAAAAAAAACAGAAACTGAATACAGTCATAACGACACTGTATCCGTCATAATACAAAATTAATCACAGTTTCTTTTCCTTCTTTTTTTTTGCCTTTCTCAATCCTTTACAAATTACCGTTAAATTTCCACATTCATCAAACACTGTTGGATTCACTTCTTCACCAAAAATTTTCGTCCAAACAACAATCCGTTTTCGTTGATCACCCGCATTTAAGCTTTTATCAGTGACAGTCAATTTGGGCGATAGAGAACGTAGGATCATCCAGTTTGTTTCGTTAGAAAACGAAATAAGATAACCGAACAACACTACTGTACATACGATGATACAAAAACAGTATGTATAACGAGAAGGAACATGTTGACTCCACCACTGTAATGCCACAGATTTTTGAACCATTAAAGTATAGACCTTCCTAAAAACGAAGATATAAAGGCTAGCTAAATATATGAAATATAAATTACAAATATGTAACAATAGCAACAGGAAAAAAAGTTCACAGTCTTGGTAACAGAAAAAGCAGTGCTTTTTCCTTGTTTCACTAAGTATACAATGCAAGAATGAGGAAGGAATATTGATAAAAGGCCAGTTGAAGACCTATAAAATTATTGACATTTCAATTAGAAAATATAAAAATTTATAATTTCGATTCTTTCTGATGAATTCGTACACAGTAAAATAAAAAAAATTATTGTCTAACTATGGCTGTGGTAATTTCTGGTTTTTTTTTTTACGGTGTGGTTTCAACGACAACTAGAATACCTCATCATCACTTCAACGGTCCTCTCCCAAATAGGTTTTTTTTTTTTCTGTGTGTGTGTTTGTCTGTATCATGACTTCCGAACCAGTCCAGATGCATCTTTTTTCTTGACATTCATTTCTTGCTTATTCTTTGGACTTTTTATTACTGTAGAACCGTCATATTCCGTTTACGGGATTCTTACAGACCTATGTTGACTTCTAAGCATTCAGCGATCGCTTTGATCGTTTTTTTCAGTCCCAAAGTCAGACAGTTCAAGAATCCAGTTGTTCTTCTTCCAAACACTAATTGTTTTTTGGAACTTATTCATCACTGATCTTGCTAAATAACATTACTGCGGGGAGAAAAAAAAACATGTGGCTCGCGATAAACAACAGAGTGTTGCTAAAGTCGCCGGTGCTATCATTCTTATGAACCTAATGTTTTCCCAGCTGTTTTCAAAATACTAATCACCGACAAATGAGTACAGTACTTTATCATCAGTTCAAAACTAAGTTAAAAACATTGTAAAGGAAAAAATGAAAAATTTTTACCATAAAATTGTTTAGCTTTTCAAGGACAATTACTAAATGGACAAATTTTAGTAAAATTAATCAACCAATTCAGATTCAAAAATTTTATAGATCAATAATCAAAGTAAAAAGGTAGAATCAGAACTAGAATTCAAAATATCTTTGGCCCGTTAAAATTCAGCTTTCATAACGCAATAATAACAGTGGAATGACAGCACCTTTTTTCTTCAAAATTTGTAACTAAAATGAGCACTGAGAATAAGACAGAAAATGTGACTGGGTAGAAAAAAAGATGAAAAAATTTGGTTACAAAATGCACCCAAAAAGTTCATCAAAAGAAGCACAACTGACAATCTACCAATATGAACCGAGTTCTGACAGATAATAAAGAACTGATACAGACATGTAAAAGAAAAAAGTTTCTTTCTTTTTTTTTTTTTTTTTATTTACTTTAGAGATTCACTATAATCACCAGAGTACCATAGAAACGTTCAAACGATAGAAAAAAAGCTTAAAATCAAAGAAAATAGAAATTATCTACGATACCTACAAAAATCGTTGAAAAATAAGAGAAAAAATCTGACAGATATTTGAAGGCAAAGACTTATAATTCATTTTTTTTCCTCCCCGTTGAGCAATCAAGTAAGCGAAATGAAAGTGAGCATTGTCACAGTTTTTACTACCGCCCATCCCTCTGTTCCGTAGTACCAAGACCAAATCTCAAGTAGTTCTTGTCTTTATGACAGTTGGTACACACACCGTAAAATAAAAAAGAAAGACAACGGCAAACATCTCCTTTTAAATCCTACGCTGCTCCCAAATTATTTTGATGAACCTTTAATCATAAATTCAAATTTATTCTGATTTTTCTTTTTTGATATCAAAACATTTCAATTCTTAACGCCGAAATATTTCTTATTTTTATATTTACAGTGCAAAAAAAAAAAATTATTTCACTTGTTTTGTACAAAATACTCTTTTAATCCCTTGCAAAAAACTGTTTTTTTTTTTTTTTTT